TTATTTAAATGTTTTTATTAATTTGAGGGAGAGAGGAAGGAAGGGTGGGGGGAAAAAGAGAGAAACAAGATGTGAGAGACATCAATTGACTGCCTCCTGCACTCCCTACTGGGCATTGGCGGGGGGAAGGGGGAGCATGTGCCCTGTAGGGGAATCTAGCCTTGACCTTTTGGTGCATGGGAGGATGCTCAACCAACGGAGCCACACTGGCCAGGGCAGTATTTATTTTTATAAGCTGAAAACTTTTTATAAAATCAACCAAGAACAGTAAAGATTTTAGAAGAATTTAAATTTGAAGTAGGGTTTGTTTTATTCTCTTTTCTTAATTCTGTTTTGGCTGCTTAGTCATGAAAATGTGACTTGCAGATACGTACAGCTTGTCTTTCAGACTCCATATATACTTTATTAGTACGATCGAGAGCTATAAGAGTATTTCTAGTACAGACATTTTGTTTGAAAGACACCATTACTTAGTTATCTTTACTTCATATCACAAATGCAAAAGTGACCAGCCCCTCAAACTTAAACAGCAAAACTTAATATTGTTTCATGTTAGCTCTTTAATTTGGAACCAGCCACCTGGCTACTCCCCTAGGAGAGGAGAGCATGCAGCAAGTTAACTTGTGAGTCTTCTTGGAAGGTGTTTAATTGGGAAAAGCATAAAATATGTGACTGCAGACTAATTTTAAATGAATGGACATGTGGAAGCCTAAATTAGGGGTGGGAAACGCGAGTGCAGAGCTGCAACTTTACTAATCAATGTCTTCATAGGAATTGGACATTATATTTTAACTAGAGGCCCGGTGCACAAAAGTTTGTGCACTCGGGGGGAAGGGGGGGTCCCTCAGCCTGGCCTGTGCCCTCTCGCAGTCTGGGACCCCTCAGGAGATAACGACCTGCTGGCTTAGGCCTGCTCCCGGGTGGCAGAGGGCAGGCCCAATCCCTAGGTGCAGCCCCTGGTCAGGCTCAGAGCAGGGCCGATTGGGGAGTTGGGGCACCGCCCCCTGTCACACACAGAGCAGGGCGGATCAGGGGGTTGGGGCGCCGCCCTCTATC